CTCCTCCCTCTCATGCTCTCTGTCTCTCATTCTCTCTGTCTCAAATAAATAAATAAAATCTTTAAAAAAAAAAAAAAATTTCTTCCTTACAGTCGCTCCAAACTTGCTTTCCTGTAATTTGTATCCAATTTGTATCTTGTTCTTTACTCTTCCTCTTGCATATGACAATGCTTCAGTATTTGAGTCCAGCTCCATTGATACCCTGGGGTTTCTCTTCTCAGGACCACACATCACAGGTCCTTCGGTATCTCCTTATGGGCTGTCTGATTGCCAGGCAACTGAGTACAGTACTATAACCAATCTCCCCTTCCTGGCCGGTAGTTTATTACCGTCCCTATGAAAACATAGGGCCCACAATTTATGTGGCCTTCCTCCTCTATTAACGTATGTTTTTGTAAATATCTTTAGGATTTGTGAAGTTTTTTGGAAACCTGGCTATCATGGATAGTCCTCAACAAATCTGTGAGCGTTATCCTGTCTTTATGGAAAAAGTCTTTGAAATGACAGAAAGTCAGGACCCCACCATGATTGGTGTAGCAGTGGACACAATTGGAATCCTGGGATCCAATGTTGAAGGAAAACAAGTTTTACAAAAAACAGGTTGGTATGACTTATTTTGGCTTTCTTTAGGGATATCATCATTTTTGACAAGGATTCAATATATAAGCTCATTTGTTGGTGCATTAACTACATTGTAGAAACTACTCTTACAGACGGCTGTCTTTTTACTGTGACCTTGGACTCATCCCTAGAAAATCTCATAATTATTACTGAATTTTTGTTTATTTATGTTTTTACTTGGCTAGACCAAGCACTGTGTCCCCTCTACACCTTCCTTGATGGTATTCATGGTCCAGAGACCGTGGACTAGAGTCAGAAAGACCTGGGTTCACATCCCAGTTCCAACACTGACTTAGCTTTTTGAACTTTATATCCTTACTTCATTACTGTAGGCCGTTTTCCTCGTATATTCATAAAAAGGATAAACAACTGTTTCTTGGGATTGTGAATATTTAATGAAAACACACATTTGTTTTATATTTGTAATGTCCAGGAAGAAAAAGAAACAAAAATTTGTTACAAATTTATGTTAAGAATGATACTTTTACAGCACATCCATGAGTATCTTAAAGCACTCTGAATTCTATACAAAAAATAATATGGGCACTATTAAAACCTTTATGAAGTATATCTTGAATTGAAAATTAGTATGCTATTGTGTATCACAACTGGTATCCTGGTTATATATACTTTTCTAAGTGCTTTTACCTATGACATGTAATCCTTTTATGGTCCTGCAAAGAACATAGTATGGCATTCTCATTTTATAGATAAGGTAGCTGAAACTCAGAGAAGTTAAGAGAATTTTTAAGATCACACAGACAGTGGGGCATCTTGTACTCAAATCCAGGTCCTTTGATTCCAAATCCTCTGCAGTTTGTCTTATATATATGCTGTATTACATATGAATGTGTGTTTTAGGCCTGTCACTTGGTCTCCAACTACATGTTTCATTTTTGTGTTGGTTTAGGTTGGTAGAGGTCATAGTATATAAAAGCATACTTTTAAAAAAATCTCATTGTTCGCTTCATACCCATTAGAATGGCTATTACGACAAAAAAAGACAACAAAAACAAAATAACAAATGTTGACAAGGATGTAGAGAAATTGAGAGCCTGGTACATATTTGGTGGGAATGTAAAATGGTACAGCTGCTGTGGAAAACATTATGGTGGTTGGTTCCTCAAAAAATTATACATAGAGGGGCGACTGGGTGGCTCAGTTGGTTGAGTGACTGACCCTTGATTTCAGCTTGGATCATGATCTCAAGATCCTGAGATTGAGCCCCACATCGGGCTCCACACTCAGCATGGAGTCAGCTTGAGATTCTTTTGCCCTCCCCACCCGCCCCCCGCTCTTCCCCCCGGCTTGTATGCGCTCTCTTTCTAAAATAAATAAATAAATAAAATCTTTTAAAAAAAATTATGCATAGAGTTACCATATGATCCAGCAAATACACTTCTAGATATACATCCGAGGGAATTGAAAGAAGGGACTCAGAAGGTATTTGTACACCTGTATTCATAACAGCATTATTCATAATAGCCAAGAAGGTAGAAACAATCCAAAATGTTCATTGATGGATGAATGGATAAACAAAATGTGGTGTATACAATACAATGAAATATCCAATCTTAAAAAGGAATGAGGGGCGCCTGGGTGGCTCAGTTGGTTAAGTGTCCAGCTCTTGATCTCAGCTCAGGTCTTGATCTCAGGGTCATGAGTTCAAGCTCCACATTGGGCTCCACACTGGGCATGGTCCAGTTAGAACAAAAAAAGGAATGAAATTCTTATACATGCTATAACATGTAGGGACTTTGAAGACATTATGCCAAATGCAATAAGCCAGACTCAAAAGGACAAGTATTATATGATTCCACTTATATGAGGTACTTAGTCAAATACATAGAGACAGAAAGTAAAATACTGGTTATCAGGGGATGAGGGTGGGGGAAATGGGGAGTTACTGTTTAATGAATACAGAGCTTTGGTTTGAGATGAAGAAGACGTTCTGGAGATGGGTAGTGATGATGGTTGCACAACAACATGAATGTACTAAGCTCTATACTTAAAAATGGTTAAAATGTTAAATTTTATTTTTTATTTTTTTTATTTTTTTTAAAGATTTTATTTATTTATTTGAGAGAGAGAAAATGAGAGAGAACACATGAGAGGGGATAGGGTCAGAGGGCAAAGCAGACTCCCTGCCAAGCAGGAAGCCTGATGTGGGACTCGATCCAGGGACTCCAGGATCATGACCTGAGCCGAAGGCAGTCGCTTAACCAACTGAGCCACCCAGGCGCCCTAAAATGTTAAATTTTATATTAATTTTACCACAATAAAAAATACTTTGTTATCCTTCAAAGGAACTCGCTTTGAACGCTTGCTCATGAAAATAGGATATCAAGCAAAGAATGCCTCGACAGAGCTCAAAATTAGGTGTTTAGATGCTATTTCATCTATTTTTTATATACCGGTAAGTAAATTGGAAATTAATGAAGGACTGTGGGATATGTTTGGGAGAATAAATCTGTATAAGTCAACATAATACTGGTTAACTTAATATAAATGTTACTCAACTTTTAGTAAAAGAAGATAACCCTCATTATTTAACTAGTGACATCTTTTAAGTTAAAGTGGAGTCATCCAGGTTAGAACTGGAGAGAGAGGACCCTAGAGCTTCCCTAATCCACCCCATCAGGAAAACAAAAAACAACTGGGGAAGTCTGAGCTGGGTTTGGGAAAGTGTGCTCCAGACTTAGCAGAGATCATGTAGCAAACTAAGGACAGCATGCCATCAGACCCAGGCTTCCTGACTTCCAAAGCCTTGAGATTTTTCCTTTCTGTCCTGTAGCCTGAGCAGCAGACTGATGACCTCCTGCGAATGACAGAATCCTGGTTTTCTTCTTTATCTCGGGATCCTCTGGAGCTCTTCCGTGGTATCAGTAATCAACCCTTCCCTGAACTGCACTGCGCTGCCTTAAAAGTGTTCACGGTAGGAATCTTCTTCGTTTTCTCAGGTCCTTCTGGGATGAAGCTAGTTCAGCCCGTGGCTACTCTGCCATGCCCTGGGAAATACCAGTGCGTAGCCCTGTGCTATTAGTGTATACTAATGAGGGAGACAGATGTGTCAACAGATTGTTTCAGTTAAAGGCATTAGGTATTGTGGCAGAGGTTTGGACAGGATTCTGTGGGAACACAGAATTAATTCCAGATTCCTTATCTGCCATCAAGCAAATCCTCTATTGACCCAGCCCGAGACTTCTTCCTGAGCCTTATTTCCTGCCATTCCCCTTCTGGCACTCAGTGCTCTAGTAATACCAAACTGCTTGCTTCACATCTCTGGACCTTTATGTGCCCTCTACATTCAACACTGTTCTCCAACTTTGCTTGTTAACCTCTTACTCATTCTTAAAGAACTAGCTCAGGCATGTCTTCAGCAAGCTTTGCCCAAACCCACAAGGTTGAGTTAAGCTGTGTCAGCTCTCGTAAAAGCTGCTTATTCGTTATTTTAAAATTTGGAAAACATTGTGAAGTAGAAATTTTTGAAATCACTTAAAGTCAGACCTGTTTTGTGTATTTCCTTTTAGTGTTAGTGTTAGTATTTATTTACCTTTTTTTTGGTGAAATTTTTTTTTTTAAGATTTTATTTATTTGAGAGCGAGAGAGTGCACAAGCAGGGGGAGGGGCAGAGGGAGAGGGAGAAGCAGACTTCCCCCTGAGCGAGGAGCCCGATGCGGGGCTCGATCCCAGGACCCTGAGATCATGACCTGAGCCAAAGGCAGACACTTAACCAACTGAACCACCCAGGCGCCCTTTAGTGAAAATTTCAGACATCAGTAATACTTTCCAATCTCTGCCAACCCGCCCCCCCCTCCGCCTTCCTCCCTCTCTGGATGTAATCACTGTCATGAATTCGGGGTTTATAAGCCTATGCATGATTTTATACTTTTACTACATATGTGTGTATCTTTAAACAAATTACAGTATTTTGCCTATACTTAAACTTTGTGAATGGTATCATGCTGTTCATATCATTCTTTTCTCTTCAACATTATGTTTCTAAGGTTTGTGTATGTTAAAAGTGGCAATTAGAAAGTCTTTATTTCAGGGGTGCCTGGGTGGCTCAGTCAGTTAAGCATCTGACTCTTGATTTTAGCTCAGGTCATGATCTTAGGGTCCTGAGTTTGAGCCCCGATTGAGCTCTGCAGTCAGTGTGGAGTCTGCCTGAGATTCTCTCTCTCCCTTTGCCCCACCCCCACTTGCACTCTCTAAATAAATAAATAAATAAATAAATAAATAAATAAAATCTTTTTTTAAAAAAGGGTCATTATTTCATTGTATAGCCACAGTTGAATCACTTTCCTATCAATGAAGATTTCAGTAGTTCTCTATTACAAATGGTACTACAATGAACATTCTCAAAAATATTATCTTTTGCACACGTATGAGAGTTTCTTCAGGGTAGTCTTTTCTTCTCTAGTTTTTATTTTTCCACTGTTGTGATTATGCCATGTATATAATTTGGATCTACTTTTTTAATATCATAGATTTGCCTCTTCTTTATAAACATTATTCTTTTTTTTTTTTTT